TAGCGCGGTGGCTGGGCAACTGGCTTCCACGCAACGTGTTGTGGGTTCGATTCCCGCACGGAAAAATTCTCTGTGTGATCCACAAATTGATGTTCCTGGTCTGGGTGTTCATGTGTATGTAAACTTGTATGTTTGTAAACGCACCCACGACACGAAGAAAATCCTTGTGTAGGGCAACAAAAAAAGTTTGGAGTCGTATACCTAAAACATTATAATATCACTGTATTCAAATTGGGAATTTGTTTCGATAATAATTGCAATTACAAGTACTGGACTAACGAGTGTTTTCAGTTGGAATTACGTTTCGTTGTGGCTTTCACGTAGACAACTTCATAATAGTTTATATCTCAATTAAGGCTAGCCGTAAAGGAAAATTATAAAAACTGTAAACAACAGACTTGCGTAATAAACAGATGTACGGCAAGAGGGCAAAACAAATTACAACTTCGAGTCGAGTTGGACCAATTAACTTTCCGTTACAGCGAGGGAAATATGAAATAAAATGAAAAACAGCCCACGGCGGCTCCCGACTTTTTTTACACGGAAAACTTTTAATTAAGGGATTAAAAATGACATTAGAGTGAGTTCGCAGCAACGTAACTTTCCCTTTGTTTCCTGAATACCCGCAAGGAAGCATGGACGCTCCTAAAATTACAATTAGATAAATAAATAAGCATCCTGTAGGTACTGCCTTAATTCTCTATTAAGCCTTGTTAAAATCTCACCTCCCCAGAGGACAGGAAAGAAAAATAATCTTCAAACTTAGTTTCGTAACATTCATTAAGAATGTTGGGAAGTTAGAAGCATTTCCCAGGGACATTAGAAAGAAAAGTGGGTTATTTATCAACAAATTTAATTAAGTATTAGTAATTACCTCTTTATTTATATTAACTTTCGTCTGTATTTATGTTCAAGATAAAAGTTCATTATTAAAAAGAAGCCACATTTTTGTGGTTCTAATTTAGTTCTTGTTTAAAATGAACGGTAAATAAGCGTGTAATCGGAATAGGACTAATGTAAGTGCTATTCTGAAATATACATAGAAACGACAAGTTATCATTTCAAAGTAAAGTCTTAAACTTATAAGTTATAGAGTGAACAATCCGTAGCCTGTGGTTTATACTGAGAACGTATTATATTAATTACAGCATTGTAAATTAATGCTAAGATACCACGAAACTATTTTACTTAGTTATTACTACTAAAATCTTAAAGTAGGTACAGTTTATTTAATGGAACTAGGTCGAGCGAACTTCTGTCTAGTGTACCTATCAATCTGACTACACTATTCATCATAACATTTACTTGCTTTCAGACCTTAATATATTTGGAATGATGAATATTTTTCACTCCAATTACTTTTCCACTGAGGGACGAGGAAAGTTTTAATTAAAGATTGAGCGACATTATGTCCCTCATCTCGGAAAAATAACCTTGTTATAACGAAGCCGACGGTCTGTTATTGAAAATAATTTTGTTTCTGTACCTACGCCTAGCCTTAATACTTTATGTACAAACTGTACAAGTGAAGCGTAATTTGGTAAAATACATTTTTGTTTGAAGTATCAGCTTCGTACACAAGGGATGTTCTATTGTTCAATTTGTTATTATGTTTCCTACATGATCGATGTATGTTCGGCAGTATAATGAACAAAATTCGATCAGTCGTTTTTGTTTCTCGTCATATTTAAAGGCACATTAATCAATTGCGACTGTCAGTTAAGACAAGTCGGCAAACAAATGCTGGAGTGAGCTCGTTAACTCGATGAACTTCGTTACGGATCCCGATACAATACAAAACCAGTGGAGTTAATGTCGAACAAGCAAGCCACGTTAACGAGTTCCACCGTCTACCGTAAGTGGTAGTAAGAACATCTCTTTCAAACTCATGAACTGGCTCTCAAGTTACAGATTTTACTTACCATATTTTAATATTTTCCCCTACAATGAAGCTAGCTACAAAGGGAAAATTGAAAGGCAACAAATAGGGGCGCAGAAGACGCTTATTCTCATTCAAATGAGTTTCGAAGAAAGTATTCGACACTTTGATATTGTGATATTTACTTAGCTACCTCGTTTCAATTTTGTATTGTTTTTCATTTCAGTGATAAGCATTCTTTAAATAGCTACGAAAGATTACGCGTCCTGATTTTTTACTTTCTAAGTTTTATTTATTTTTGTGAACAAATTATTGCGCTACATTTGTAACGAATCACCACCCTGAGTGAACGGTTATAATTGTTTTAGTCTTAGTAAACACTTACTGAAGAATATTGTTTAATAATTCAATTTATTTCTGGTTGAATACAAAAAGAAGACATAAAAGCATTACACAAAAGGCGAAACTTAAACATAGCTTGAAATTGACGAGTCAAACCTAAGATGGCTTCACAAACAAAGCCATGTCGGACGCAATTATTCCTTTATTTATTATTCCATCTCATTTTTGTTTCGTTATTTCTTTTGACAAGTTATGAAAGTCTCAAGTTACGCATTATTAAAATGAATGCGAACTTTTATAATGCTTTCAAAGCAAATTAAATGAAATGTTCTATTATATGAATTCGTCGCTACATAACGAGTATGCAACATATTAATACTGTGAGACGTTACAATTAAAAATGTTGCTGTTTCATTTCTGTGTGATTTAAAGCAAAGCCTGAACTGGTCATAAATAAAAGAATATTTTTAATATTCCAAATGTAAAAGTATTGTGAAGGCTAGGTCTGTTTTGTGTTCATTCCTTTACTACGTTTGAGTTACAAAGTTTTGTAGAAGCAAGTATATTTCGGTATACAGAATTTTGTTTGGACAATGTTTTGTAAAGAGGCACAATTATTTTATTTTTCTGAAACACAAACTTTGCCACTTTGTATTATAAACATCGGGGAGTTCTTGAATGAGATAAGTTGGTTTTGAATGAAAATTGATGATATTATCTTTCTGTTATTATTTCTTTGCGTAGTGGAGGACAACGTTTTATCGCATACCGCTCGTCAGCTGATACCGGCTAAAATTGGCGGTGCCGTGGTACTGAGGTGTGAACTGTCTCCACAAGTCGGTTTAGTGGACATCACGTGGCTGCAGGATGGTCTACCATTATCATCAGGATATTTGAGTGGCGGTAAGAAAAAAGTCTAAATTGGTGGTTAGCAAAAATAGCTATAAATATAATAGTCAGTCATAATATTATTCGTTGGTACCTTTTTTCTTGTGTCATGAACAAACAATCTAAAATCTTATTTTAGAACCTCGTTGGGTATCTGGAGCTAGTGGCCTTCTACTCGGTCTAGATCTGACTCAGGCGGACATTCAGGCAGAATATTCATGCGTGGCTCTCGACACTCCCAGCCCGCCTTTGAAGCTCACTACCGACGGTCAGTCTAATAAAGCTTTATGCATTTAGAATGTCTTGAAATTTAGTCTACAGAAACTGGTGAGACTGAGTGTACTAGTCAAAGACGTACGACTTAATAGTAACGTAACATTGAGATATTATTGTCCTCTTTGACAGTAACTTTACATTTTTTTTATTTGAAATGAATACTTTATCTTTTATAATTTAGTCGATTGGAATAATTACTACTAAACTCAGTTTGTTTTCGAAAATCGTACCTATTTATAAACAATTATTTTAACAACATTTTATTTTGTAGACAGTAGCTGGTTGGAAAATATAGAATTAAATTCAGTGGAGGCTCGGGCTGGAGATACGATTGTACTACCGTGTATACTGCGACATGTTAGCGGCCATACTGTAAGGTAAATCGTACTTTAATTATTCTTACATGTAACACGAATTAAAAACCGAAATACCGATAAAACTACACAATTTTTAGAGCACGTTTTAATACACGTTTCCAGTAGGTAATAATTGGTTCTCATGTTTGTTATTAGTTTTGATTTCGGTTTATAAACACAATGAACTGTTTTTTATAATAACTATCGTGAGACATACTAAATTAACTAAAAATCGCGGGTTACTCACGTGAATATTATGGTTCGAATCTAGTAGAGCTTTTCTCAGTATATTCACGTGAGTATCCCGCGATTTTTAGTTAACAATGAACTATTTTATTTATTTTCTTTATAATAAACTTGGTTAGTCCTGTTATAACTGTAATGATTTTTAATAAACAATCTTTATTTGTGTAAATATTACATTACAATTTAACATTTTCGTCCTTTACATTTAACATACCATCATGCTTTATTATTGCGACAACCTTCCAATAAAATTATACTTAGTTAACTCATACCATGAAGGTATAGCAAAATTAAATCATCAGTTGGCAGCGGCAGGAAGCATCGGGCACTTGGGCAGCAGTGTCAGCGGAGGGAACAGTTCGCGGTGGATCCCTCGTCACATCTGCAAGATCTCACCATGCTGCAAGATACGCCTGCTCTCCAACCCAGAGTCACCAACCAGAGTTCTTGTTAAACTGGTCGTGTATGAACCTCTGTCTGTCAGTGTCACGCCGAACCCTTTGGTGAGTAATAATAGATTTAAGTTCGGCATTATAATATTATTGATATATGATTATGTTACCCTGGAGGTGTGTTTTGACTGTGATGTTGTTAAAATGTAATTAATAAAACTCAATTTCCATTTGATTATAATTATAGAATTGCACAGATTGAAAGAAGTCAACGAACATAACAGTTCGCCCAACCCAAGGATCTGACCTAACTTAACACAAAACTCTTTATATGAGCAATCACACTTTACCTTTTGAGTACCGTCATTATAGACACAATTAAAGAACAATAGGTTGCGGTCACCGGTGTCCTCGCGGTGTTTGACAGTTTAAAGCGACAATACGACCTTAAGGCTTTGACTGCCAATAGAAAACTGTTGAAGGCAAATCCTCTGCTAATGTTGGTCACCGGTAACCCCCATGGCGTTTAATGTGTTAATTCGTTTTTTGAATTCTACAATGAAATACTAAATCATCATTTTTGTATTAATATTGTTCCTAAGGAAGATATTCTTCTTGTAGATGGTAGGTACAGGAGGTTCAGGCCATCTAAACTGCTCAGTGACGGGCGGTCGTGGCGGAGGGGTCACGTTAAGTTGGCAGCACGAAGGCAGACCATTACACGCGCCTCAGTCCCGCCTCAGTCTCGGTCCAGTTCGTTCACATCACGCTGGTCTCTACCAATGCACGGCACACGACCATTCTGACTCCGCTGTTGCTGGTGCCGAGTTAGTTATTGCTGGTAACAATTGCATTATTATTTTTGGAAGTGTGGGTGCCAAATTTAAATTGTGTTTGTAAATTAACGGTTTAGCTTGGTATTCCTAACATTCTTGATAATTAAATTGTACTTTGTAATCATGTTTTGACAATAAAGTGCCTAGAAGTATCCCAGGTTATATATACCATTCAGGAAACATAGACTCTCGCAAATAATTCCACTCCTTAGCAGTACGCACAATGAAGCTTGATGCGAAGCACTTCGTGCGTGTGGTTGGGACATCTGCTATGAATTGGTGACGCTTTGCTGATTATCTTGTGGTACAAAGATGATCAAAATAGGATAGAATTCTCAAGTCTTTGACTTCTGAAATCTTTGACGCGAGTTCCGTTTTTCAAACCAATGAATATAACTTTTTATTACATCTTTGAAAACCATAACATAATTCACAAAATCAACCAGTTTATCTTCATTCCGGTTTCCAGACAGGCCACCACGGTTAGTATCAACGTTCAGTGGAGCGGTGACTAGGATCGGACAGAGCATAGTCATTAGGTGTGCAGCGACTGGCGTGCCTTCACCCCGTATACTCTGGACTTTAGATGACAGACCGCTGCCAGCTGCTCCCGACAAGTAAGTTTATGTGCAATATAGTAGACGGAATATTAAGCCTTAATTCGTGGTGTTTTAGAGGTTATTTTTTGTTAATTCTTTTACATCGGATTGTATCATACATTAAGTTGATTTTTTTTAAACGTTACCCCACACTAGGATTTTCTCCTATGTCGTGAGTGCTTTTACAAACATACACTTTCACATACATATGACAGCCAGACCCGAAACAACAATTTGTGGATCACACTAAGTGTTGTTCCGTGTGGGAATCGAACCCGCGGTACGCTGCACAGCAGCACGCTTGCCCAGCCACCGCACCAACTGTGCAGTCTACTGCACACACAGTAAAATATGACTGACAATTTTGCTGTAAACTAAAAAAAATATTTGTACTAAAACATTTAAGCGTATTCCAAGTGTACAGAAACTGAGAGGGCTGCCAAAATGCTAATAAACATGTAAATTATTAGCTTTGACTTGATTCAGAAAAGACGGTCAAAAAGTATCTTTCTATCTATTTTTTTTTAGGTATAGCGTTAATACAAGGGCAGAAGCAATGCCGGGAAATGAGGAAGGGACAATAGTGTCCACTTTGAGTGTAACTATTAGGACTGCGGACGAAGGAGGTAGATACGGATGTAATGCTACCAACTCGCAAGGATCTCATGCTCATCAAGCAAGACTGAATGTTTATGGTAAGGGCTCTTTGAGATAAATGGACATGGTATTTGATGAATGAGGACTTAAAATAAAATATACGCAGAAAATATAAAAGTTTTAGTCCAGATCATGGTTTAAAACACAACACTTTTGATCACAGGTCCTCCAAATATCCGATATTTACCAGCATTACATGTAAAGACTGACACAGACGTGACAATATACTGTCCGTATTCCGGATACCCGATTAAGTAAGTTATAATATATTTTGAACCTGAAACAGCATTACTATTTCGGGACATAGATTTTAATGCATTGCCAATTTACAGAGAAGTAGTTTGGAAACGAGAAGATGGGTCCATTGTAGAAAGTATTTTAGAATCGAATGATGAACGAGGAGTGCTAAGACTAAACTCTGTTCGGAGTACGGCAGCAGGAACTTATACTTGCGAAGTCAGAGCGGAAAGTGGGGAGCTTGCTCGACGAACTGTACGACTAGACGTCCATAGTAAGTCCTTCATTTGCTTACGAAAATGTATCCAGTTTACTGACAATATTTAAACGTATAGCCTATTCTTAACAGAGCCACCGAAAATAGCACCGTTTCAATTTCCCGAGGAACTCGAAGTGGGCGGTAGTACGCAAGCAACATGTAGCCTGATATCGGGAGATAAACCGATACAGTTCACCTGGCACAAGGATAATTTGCCAATCCCTTCAATGTTAAAGGTATAAAACGTAGCTCTATCGAAATTCGTTGGCTTAATTTAAGTTTGCACTAAATATTTTCTGCCGTATTTGCTAAAGAAACGGTGAAAAATTTAATGATACTCTATATAGTTTTCGAATTATTTCAAAGAGAAAGAATGTTTCATCTTTTAGGTGGAACAAAAAAACATGGACTTTTTCTCCCTACTTATTATACAAGACCTAACTTCGGCACACAGTGGAGAATACACTTGCAGAGCTACTAATGATTTCGGTGCAGTTAGCCATAGCGCTTCACTGATTGTCAAAGGTATTTATTGTCTAAGTTTACTCTAGTACGATTGGGACACACATGTTCTAATTTGGTCATGTAATTTAGAAAGTATCTGAATTTGAATAAAACACGTTCTTTACTGTCTTAACACATTTTTATTTTATGATTTTATTATCAACTAACTAAAAATGAGTCTGTGTTCTTCTTAATGCTCATCTTCTATGCAAATCCCTTTCACCTTCAAATAAAGTTCTTTCTTCTTTCTGTCTTCTTTTATACTTTTTTCTATTTCTTTGCTGGGGCCAGCGTAACATATAAAGCAGTCTCTCCGCACAGAATCGCCGACATGGGTGTGGCGAGCACAGAACACGTCGGTGTCTGCTGGGGCGGCCCTTCTTCTACCATGCTCAGCTAAAGGACAACCTACGCCTAGAATCTCTTGGGAGTATTCCACAGGTAACAATTTTTGGTATATATTAGATTGATTTGACAAAACATTTGACATTTTTTTACCGACTTCAAAAAAGGAGGAGATTTTCAGTTTAACTTATGTGTATGTATGTTTTGTACGCGATTATAGAGGTATACTATCGCGATTGACTGAATCGATTTTGATGCGGCTTTCAGAGAAGTGTTTGTTATACTTAGGAGAAGATTTTAGTATATTAATAAACCTACTTAAAAAAGGAGGTGGTTGAAGTCGGTTTTTTTTCATAGTTTATAAACAGAGAATGCTTTAAGTCAAAACATTAAGTCCGCTATTTACTGCATTTTTTCGTGAAGAAGTTAAAAATAAATAAATGAAATAAATATTTTTATTTTAGAACAAGACGTACCTAGTCAAAGTGAATCAATTATATTATAATTATTGTTTCATGAATACATTTTTATAATCTGCTTATTAAATTCAAATAATTGTATAGATTGTATATAATAATTAATAGAATAACGGTTGTTTTATAATCATTTAACGTTTAAACAGTAATCAATAATGAGTTTTTAATTTAAAATTGCCAGTCCTTGTTTAACTAATGTTGTCCATTTTTTGCTGAACTTTTATCTTATAAAACTAAAAGCTATGTTCACCGCCGCGACTTTTAAAAATTGGAAATTTTACCTCACTGTCCTTCTGACCGGATTTAATTTCGTCTCAATTGTAGTCAGATTCAGCAATGACGTAATTTGGTTACAGAAAAGCCTGTCGTGGCGTTATTTGTGTTTCCATCAATGTGAAAATCTGAATTTTGTTGGAAGTAATCGGATCGCTGCGGTAGCGTAATTACAGTATTACATTGTTATATTCAATAGCGACTGCAATTTGATTACGTATTGAATAGGCCTTAGTAGCCTTTTATCCCCGAAGGGGTAGGGGTAGAGGTGTACATTACGGCACTTAATGCCACTGTACAATGTAACACCCACTTTTCACTATTTATGTTATGAGTCCCATGTAATTGGATGTGAGCCTATTGCCATATATCGGGCACAATTCCAGACTTTTTGAAAAAACCCAGTAATACTTTGCCCGACCCGGGAATCGAACCCGAGACCCCTTGCCCGGCAGTCGCAATTGCAACCACTTGGCCAACGAGGCAGCCTTGAATAGGTAGTGTTTATATAAATTATAATTAGGTACCTACATAAGCGTATAACAAGTTACTAGATATTGGAATATAGGAATACAACTTTATTATTATACAAGTTTTTTCTTGATAAAACATACTATAGTCGTGGTTTAAACAAAAGTTTGTGAAATAATCATTATAATAACTAAACGTTCGCTTGAATTTTGTTTTATCGTTCAAATTTTGGCCAAAAGATGTTAGAAGCTAAGAGTTTATTTAATACGAAAGTTTTACATTCAGTTTCTTTACATTATCCTAAAATCAACAGAGAAAATATTTGACTCAAGTTTACCGTTTGTCCCTACTGTTTTAGCCAATGAAATTTTTCTCCAACGCTCCATACTACGTAAATTGTCTACGATAATACAGTCGGTATCAAAGCAAAAGTACCAAACCTCATTCAAAACATAAACTGCAACCAGCTTATAGAGATGTTCATTGCTGAACAAAAGCCTTTTTCTATGGAGCGCCGCCACACATTATTCCCCGCCTTTCCCATTCAACCACTCCTAGCTAGTTTCTTACCCGAGCGTACGGCGCGTTGCATTCCGCGCGCGCCTCAAAGAGCCATCAGACCACCACAGATGGGGCCCAATAGGGCCGATTCCGATTCGGAGTCGCGGAGAACCTAACGGGTAACCGGGGCTCCGGCTCGACGTGCAGGAGACGGAACAGGGTGGTTTTTAGTCAGTAAGAGTCTGACACTCCCTCCTCACCCAGGCGGGAGTCATTCGATGATAAGCTAGTTTCTTAAGGTCAAGTTTGGATAATTGCTTAAATAAAATGAGCGTAAACATTAGGTAGGTACTGCCTAGTAAGTAATTTATAAGTAAGCTTAATTAAAATGTATCTTAGACGGTGATAACTGGCGTCACGTGCTCTGGGGCCAATCAGAGGCGACTGATACAAGTGGGGGCTCCATACTGATAGACGGCACGGTGTGGCTGAGAGCAGCCAGCCCTGAGCACGAGGGCTGGTACCGATGTACGGCGCGCGTTCAGCATTCCTTCTTACATCATTTGTTTTATTTGGATGTTAGAGGTAAGTAGGTACTTAGAAATAGGTAATAATAATATTTTATTTCTTGTATAATTTATTTTATTTACACTAAAGTTACACATATTTTCACAAAATTAATTCAAATAATGTTATATGTATTTTGTTTATATGGTAACTAACATAATAATATCAAACTCGTATAATTATTAATCGACATGTATCCCTGCATAATTTAGCAGCATTAATATCGTATGTACTTCATAATATAACTGTATATTAATGATAAATTTCACAAATATTACAAGCCATTTAACAATCCATCAATAGGACATTTTATATAGTTTCCACGACTTACCCAACTTATTCCAATCAAACTAATATTCATTGTACATTTAACATTATCGATCAATCTCTAAAATTGTAACACAGAAAAAAAACTCTTCTTGCATCCTACAGTTGATAAAACCTGTATTTGTTATATATTGTGTAATATAGAACCTCCAAGACTGAGCAGAAGTGGTAGTGGTGAGACTCGATGGGTGGTGAGAGGAACGACTGCGAGGCTCTCCTGCACTGTCAGAGGGGAGCCTGAAATTCACGTACATTGGACACATGACTCCAGGCCTTTGTCTTTACAGTAAGTACAATTTAACAAAATCTTTGACAGGTTTTCAGCAACTCCAAGAAAATGTCTAAAGAAATAGTGGGTAATAAGACTGTTTTATTATATAGTCCGTGCCATTCAGTTTTAAGGCTATATTGCACTGGGACACCGGGGCTGCTGTATGTACCTCTATAGAGATACTCACATGGTGTCCACTTAGTTGCGTAACCACTTAGGTGCGAACCGGATGCCAGCGCAGAATGTTAATAGTCGTTCATGCACGCTGGTCGCACCACCACTAATTATTATAGCGCTGTATGGTGTGATACTCACTCAGCCACCAGTCGTTCTGCCACGGAGCGGTGGCGCGACTGGTTGCGTCGCCATTGTTTTCCGCTGGAATATAGCCCTTAAAATATGACATTATTCTCGTACCTAAAATTTATGATGACGAGCGTATCAATTCAGTCAATATTTGCAATTATTTGACTGATTAATGTTACGAAATGTGAAAACTTTCATTTCGGAGACTTGACGATTTAATTTCCTGTCTCGATGTAAAAGACCGATAACGCGTCCTGATCAATTTTACGTCAGTTACAGTATCTGCGTCACAAAATGTTTCATAAAATAAACATTTAACTTAATTAAGGAGATATACAAAATCTTGGCTTTTCATCTTCTTATTATATATGCCTACTTACAATATTCAAATTATTCTCCATACATAAGGTTACTTACCAACCATTACAATATTAGGTATTAAAAAAAATTGATGTGCGGGTACTTCGTTGTCAAAAACCTTTAAACATTTCCTGACCGCTAGAAGTTGATTACTTTATGCTTGATCGCGACCGATGATGGTTCTCTCGGAGATTATCAAGTAAAGTTAAAACTGAATATTTCAATCCACTTTGAACAAAATGAAAGTCAAACATTTTTCATTTAATTTGGAGTTTTACCCTATGGCTTAAAATAAATTTTTTGGTGACAGTGGCTCCGGTGGTGTGGAAAATAGGGAGACAAGTGGTGGTGCGATGACGTCAGAGGTGACAATACCTCACGCGGGACCTGAACACGCTGGCGAGTATCGATGTTTGGCGCGTAACCTGTACGGAAGCGACGAACTTGTGTACCGGCTTTTCGTTAAAGGTAAGACGTTTAAAACATAACATGCGTTATTAGTCAAGTAAGGTGCAAACGAGGTTACCTGAGGCAAAAAAATGTTTATGATTAGAGTAATTTGGAAGAAGAGGTCGCTAATTGCAGAGATGGAAATAATTTTCTTTGTTTGTTTTAATTTTTTGTATCGATAACAATACACACACAACACACATCACATAAATTTGTCTTGACAGATAACCCTTCTATCCAGAACTTTAAGTAAAGCCAGCCAAAGCCGCTAAGTGCTAAAAATCGAAAAAAGAAAATGCTCTAGCTAATTCTAATTCGCGAAGAGGGTTTTAGTGCACATTTGTTCAGGTTTTGTGAGGATTTGTTGAAATAAGACTGAACAAATTCAAACCGACTGGATAGTAAAATGTCATAACATAACATCACGCCTTTTATCCCCAAAGCGTTAGGCAGAGGTGCACATTATGCCACTGTAAAATATAACACCCACTTTTCAATATTTATGTTATGAGTTCCATGTAATTGGGGGTGAGCCTATTGCCATTACCGGGCATAATTCCAGACTCCGTGCTATTACTGAGATTTAAAAAAAAACAGTAATAAGTTTGCCCGAACCAGGAATCGAACCTGAGACCCTGTGCCCGGCAGTCGCACTTGCGACCACTCGGCCAACAAGGCAGTCACATATTAAAATGTATGACATAAAATCAATATTTTTGCCATAATATACCTACATACAATTAGTGGCTACGAATGGGTCATTTTTGTTTTTGTTAGGCCTACTTTTTAGGTTATGTTCCTCCTAGGGACAGTTTTCTCATAGGATTACTGAGTAAAATTACACAAATTTTATTGTGACGTGTGACTTCAAACCTTCAAGAAAAGAGCGTATTCCTTTTTAAAAGACCGGCAACGCACCTATGATTCCTCTGGTGCTGCGGGTGTCCATGGGCGGCGCTGATCGCTTACCATCAGGTGATCCATCTGCTCGTTTACTTCCTATTCCATAAAAAAAGACGTCACTGATCTGCAAAATGTTTATCTAGGTACAAGTAGGTACACTACCGATTCCTAGAACTTCTGCTTTTCATATATTCGTTGATTTTGCATACAAACGGTAGATATAAAACCATATTACTGTAAATCATTTTTCCAGGAATATTGCGTTGCAGCGATATAAAGCGTAGTTTTACACAAAAGCAAATGTATTTCTTGATTTATATTAAACCTTCATTTTATTTATTTTATATCCAGAATCAACAACTGTAAATTCTTATTTTCTCTTATTACATTGTTATTTTATATTAATATCCCCAAAGGAGGTTTGCTTTAATTATATCAATATTTAATTATATTATACTATCGCAGCCATATAAATATTGGATCTAAAAAAATATACTATGTATTTTAAATTATTTGTTGTACGTCTAAACTTTTAACTTCTAAAGAAAAAACTCTAAGATTTTCTGCTGACCTGACCAACCCATAGTTCACTACATTGTTTAGCATACATAAAGCAATGGAGAATTATAGAGGTAATACAAATATTTTACTCAATCCTACTACAACTTAGACAAAAATTGATACCAACAGCAGTTTTGTTCGCATAAACACAACCGGCGGTCACTGATTGTTATCTTTACGAAGTCTCGATTTCAGTTCCCATTCCGTTGACTATTATACATGTAAACAACATTAAGTAAAACAATAGTACCTTATGTACCAGTCGTTTCCACTGAGCTGTTGTTCTGCAGCGTCCAGTGGTCGTCATGTACTCGCGTCGAGGGCCATAAAGCGTAATGTGTGCCCGCGATAATACTGAATACGGGGCCCCAATGTATAAATAGGTGTACGTGGGAAGATATTCAGTAATACCATTCAAGTCAGTCTTTTTTAAAATAAGATCGGTTTAATATTTCTACTTTTAAAATTTCTAGTGCAATGTGTGAATGATCTTTATTGGTGGAACTTCTGCTTTCATCATAGAAAACTGAACAAAGACTTTAATTTATCCATTCAACTATTGGTTGATTTATCTTAATGCCTTGTACCGCCATAATTGCTGCTTAAGATATTCTACAAACCCCTTAATTACGATTTGTTCAAAGTGTAAGCTTTCTATTTTTTTAACTATCATAATTCATTTGTTATAATGAGACTGCCTCGTTGGCCGAGTGGTCGTAAGTGCGACTGCCGGGCAAGGGGTCTTGGGCCCGGGTCGGGCAAAGTATTACTGGGTTTTTAAATATTCTCAGTAGTAGCACGGAGTCTGGAATTGTGCCCGGTATATGGCAATAGGCTCACCCCCTATTACATGGGGCTCATAACATAAATAGTGAAAAGTGGGTGTTACATTGTACAATGGTATAATGTGCACCTCTGCTTACCCATTCGGGGATAAAAGGCGTGATGTTATGTTATTTATTTGTAACATCATATTCATGCATATTATTACCATTGTCAAATTAACACAAATATATTATTGGGTAAAAATGGTAGGGCTGGTAGGGTTGGTTCTTCTGCGCTTGTTCTTTACGTTCAACCTTTTACCCTTACAAACGTGTAATTTATGATACGTGATGTTTCGTTTATGGTTATATACGGTGTAAATAAAATATACCAAGTTTTAAATTTTCGTTTTCCAGACGAACAGATTGTATAAACTTTATGTATTATGTTCTAGATAGGCAGTTGTAATTACTGTAACAGATGGGTTTGTGTACCAACATTATTTGAGGTTTAAAGCAACAAAGCTGCTTGCAACTGAACCGTAAATCTGAAGACAAGAGCTCTACCAAGAACCAAGAAGGGAAATTTAACAGCTGGATGTTCTTAAAAAAATGTATAATATGTAACTTGCGTAGGTAGTCTTCGCACATGAATCGTAAGTTAGTTTAGGTATCATACGTAAAAGCTTGAGTGATGAAATTCTCGTCTTATACTGTGCCAATTAACATTTTGTCCCTATTAAGTTCCTATTAATACGTTTTGTCCATACAGAGCGTCCTAGTGTACCAGAAGAAGTCCGAGTATCCGAAGTATGGTCCCGTAAAGCGCGTGTCACATGGCGCGTCGCGCGAGGTGCACTCGTGTCGCACTACTCACTCCAATACCGCGCGTTAACGCGCGAGTTGTCGCACGCGCCCCTCGATGCACCGATGCCAGCTCTCCTTGACAACTGGGATACACAGGATGTTCTCAATCTAACACTGGCGAATTCTGATCTGCTGCATGTAGCGTAAGTATTATTCATATAAATCTAATTATCAAGGTTACATTTTTACATACTTATGGTAGCAACAAGCAATAATATCTTTTCAATACCTATAATAGTTGTATTTAATTTTATTTTTTTCTGTTCTAGTTCAATACCTTTCCTCTTTAATTGTTTTTCTACTTCAAATAAAATGAATCAGAATTTTAATAAATTCTAATAACAATTTACACGCTTCTAGATATTGGTTTAATTTTAATAGCTTTGCAAACGGAGCTGTGATAAAAATAGGCGAGTGTTTGCGGCGTAACGATTGCTTTGGATTTAAAGTTTAATAGCCTTTAGACCACCGGGGAGCACTGAAATGTTATAACCCTTTGTACAACTTGGTTACTCGGGAAAAAATCAAGCCCAGTTAATTAATGTTTCCGTAAATTTTTCAACAGTTAATTTTCCAGTTTTTAATACGATGTTAGGTTAATTACGACGATTTTATGATTTACTTTCCGAAAGTACTAGAAGTTTAAGTCAAACATTGGTTTTACGAGTGTAAATAAAATTTGATAAAGCCACCATTTTATTAAAGTCAGATCCATAACGCTTGTTAATTAAACCAATTAAAAACGAAACGTACAAGAAGTGTGAATTAGAAGATTTCTTTGTTCCGGAGATAGGAAGAAAAACTTTTCCTTTTATTAAACCCCCATTTATTACAGCTCATTAACATTTTTTTTGTTTACTTTGATCTACGTATACATTTTGGAAAGTTTCTAGTTAAACTATATAAACCAGCGTATCAAGATACTCTAATCTGTTTGTTCAATAGATATACGACCTTATACAACAAAGTCATACAATTGAAAACTTTTAATGAAATGTGTTTTTAGGGTGGTTTTTGTGAAATAAACATAGACATTAGATTGTTTAGGTCAGTCTTTTCATATAAGTGACACGTGGATCAGCGATCTGAGAGATATTATTCATTGTATCAATTGAGATGTCTTTTGCCTTATTTTTCCTAGAAACTTACCCATAACTACTTCTTTATTATTCAAACACTTATTTCTATAATGGCTTGTAATTGGGTAGTTTCCAGGGTATCGAAATTAAAAATCTAATTAGTCCGCAGTTAGATAATGAAAAAATATTATATATAGACACATTTTTTTATATTTTCTCGTACCAAGTTGCAATACTTAGATAAAATGGCGCTAAGTTTTGGAGTGGGAGGTTGTTACGTCATAACGTGCTACAAAATGTGGCACGCTGTGACGTTACACGATATTTCAAATTAACATATCATTGAAAGTATTTAATTTTGTGAGAAAAGAAAAAATACGTGTCTAAAGTTTTAAATTAATCTATCAGTCGGACATTAAAATAAAATTTAGGAAACTACCCTATTACTTTTAATTCATTTTAATCAAATTGTGCTAATCGAATAGAATAAAATTACTGTTGGCCGATTTTTCAATCATCAGTTAATTCTTAACTGTAGAATAGAATTAACATTTGACAGTTTTTAATATGGAAGAATTGTCTAATATTCAAGGATTCCTCAGTTAAAATTTATCTGGCGTTGGAAAAATCGGTCCTGTGTCATGTGTGATTTATAGCAGTTTAATAGCTTGCACTTTTTCTTGGGTGACTTTAAACATTGAGTCTTATGCGTCATTGAAGCAGTCTTATGACATATATCTACTACTTACAGATAACCTTTGGATGCAGCTGTAATAATTTGAACGTCAATCAAATTATAAGTACTTTATAGTAGTTTGTATTGAGCGTTTGTAATACATTATGTACTGAAATAACTATTCGTCAATAACGATTTCGTTCTGAAAACGATTGCTAAGTCGGGGTTAGGTAATCTTTAAAAGACATCTTAGGCTTGCCTCTCGGCTTTAGGCTTAGAGGATATACAAAAGACACAAAGGTATAGCCTATATTTTTTACAATAAAGCGTATAAATAAATACACTGCCATAATATATTTCCTTAGGTCCGAAGGGCCGGGACGTGCAGGCGCGTCTGTAGCCGGTTTGTCTCCCGACACGCGCTATGCGATGCGCATGGCTGCGTTCAACGACGTCGGCGCCTCTCCATATACTACTCCATTACACTTCACTACTAGAGAGGAAGGTAGGCAAATAATATATACATACCTGAATACGTTGTAGGAGAATTACACAAACAAATATGTATGGTGCTTCAATTAGATTAGATAAAAACTGCATTGTCAATTTAAGTTCTTATATAAGAAAACAATGGAACTTAAATACATATTATAGAAAAGTCAATTTAGCGTGATAATCAGAATGTGGTCATTTCATCTTGAAATATTACCTAATACTATGTTCAACTACTATAATAATCACCTACATCACTAATTGTTGCAAATTTAAGTGTAATACAGTAAACCGGAGTTCATTGAGTCCACCCAGCAAATATTAGCTGTAACCTAATATTCTTAAAAAAATCATTCTCATTGTTACGTTTAGGAAGTAAAACGGTGTGGATATGTCATTAATATATTGCTGAAGGTCGGTTTGAAATGAGAAGCAGTATGAAGCTTCCTGCCCATTAAAAAACAGTGCTGTGCAATTTCCGCAGGAAACTTCGCAAATGCGTGTGAATGTATGAGAATGTCCTTCTTCTTTGTTCACAGGATAAAAATGTATAGAACACAAAGCATTTTCAACTTTATTTCGAGTCTATTAAAGTTGGTTGTTCTTTGTGTAGAATGTGGTGAAGTTTTTTTCTCGGTCTCGCTTCTGACAGAGTTTTTTTTTCGCTAGCACCCGGTGGAGCACCTCGTGACATTACCGTGCGGGCACTTAGGGCGCGGGAACTTCACATTACTTGGCAGGTAGGTATCATCCAAACTATCTTATGTATTTATACAGCATACACTTAGTGTGGGAGTAGACTGATGGCATTGATCATTTATCAGATATTCGTCGTATTGAAATCGTTTTTTTTAGAAGTTCTTTATGTTGTATTTGTAGGCGTAGCTTTCTCGTTGCTATGTTAATGTTGTAAATGTTTACGTGATTGTGAAGCTTTAAGTTACATATTCGTCTACATTTTAGATAATCTAGTAGTCTTCTATAGATGTGTATAACTCTTATCGCAAACATTGGTCTCAGTAGGTCTCAAAAGAATAACAAGAACTTTCATAACTGCTGCCTCGTAGACCAAGTGGTCGAAAGTGCGACTGCCGGGCAAGGGGTCTCGGGTTCGATTCCCAGGTCGGGCAAAGTATTACTGGGTTTTTAAATATTCTCAGTAGTAGTACGGAGTCTGTAATTGTGCCCGGTATAGAGGTATGACAATAGGCTCACCCCCTATTACATGGGACTCATAACATAAATAGTGAAAAGTGGGTGTTACATTGTACAGTGGCATAATGTGCACCTCTGCCTACCCCTTCTGGGATAAAAGGCGTGATGTTACGTTATGTATCTTTCATAACCTTTTTTTTTAGCCACCACCAAGAGAAACATGGCACGGTACCCTCCTAGGGTATACGATTCGTTGGTGGGAAGTCTCAGAAGAGGGGAAGGGTACATTGAGTGATAGTCCAGGGTCGGAGTCGGGAGCCAGTGCTGATGCCACCAGTACCACGCTGCGAGGGTTGAAGGCTGCAACGAGATATGGAATAACTGTGAGAGCGTACAACGCAGCTGGTACAGGACCATTGTCACCACCACATTACCGACATACTTTGGAGTCACGTAAGTCACCTTTTTGTTAAATCTTTTTATATTCATGACTTACTTATATAAGAAGTGGAGAATTGACTGCCTCGTTGGCCGAGTGGTCGCAAGTGCGACTGCCAGGCAAGGGGTCTCGGGTTCGATTCCCGGGTCGGGCAAAGTATTACTGGGTTTTTAAAAATGTCAGTAGTAGCACGGAGTCTAGAAATGTGCCCGGTATATAGCAATAGGCTCACCCCCTATTACATGGGACTCATAACAAATAGTGAAAAGTGGGTGTTACATTGTACAGTGACATAATGTGCACCTCTGCCTACCCCTTCGGGGATAAAAAGGCGTGATGTTATGTTATGGAGAATTGAGTAAATATAGTGGAAAAGACAAAAGCTACTTCTAAACTGCTATGCATATTTTAATGACTAATCATAAAACTTTCGTAGCAGTTCGATCAAACCGATTCTATGCGGTAATACTAACAAAAATTGCTTGCTAAAAGAACCTCACCGCAAGCTTCATGAAAATTATTCTTACCCCCGATAATCGCCTTCGAAAGCGCTATAAAATGTTCCAAGTTGGAAACTAAAAGAGATCGATTTGTTTAATGTTCGAAACAGTCAGCCACAGAAGAGTATCGAAGTTGAAACTTGGACAAGGCAAGTTTTGTCGTAGTAGTAAATAACCGAGCGTCGCTATCGACGTGAAGCGACGATCGTAAATTTTCCCATCAAAATGCAAAATGGCTTAATTGGACTGTGGCCTTCTCGATCTAGGTCAAACGATTCAGTACAAATTGATGGCACTTTTGTATTCTGCGTTTGTTTCATTTTTATTCCTTCATGAAAAAATAGACTTACAATTCTTTTTAACGCCGGTTACTTGTTTGAGGCAAAAATAATGAATGTACTCTTTCAATTATATTATTCTTAGGTCTATACTTTGCATTTAAAACTTGAAAGTTTTACTTTTTTACTGCATTATGCTAAATGTTTTGTCTTTATCTTACTTTATATTCATAAACAGAAACTCTTGGCTCGAGTGTGTCATAAAATTTAACTGATCGGAATAATTGCGATAATTATCCCTAAATTTGTTCAAACATTTATGTATGATCTTTTCTTTTCAAAATAAACGTTGCCAACTTGAAAAGGCTTAATTAATGCTCTTAATAAGTCACATGTGCGCTCAACAACCTTTCGAGTAATTAATCTTAGAAGATTGTTATTAAGGAATTGCTTTGCAAGCGTTCGGAAGACACGGAAAAGCTGTTCGGATAATAACTCAGTAGAAAATTAATATAAATAATATTTTGGAGATAAATTATTGTACCTTTGAAAATGTTATCCTTGAAAAATCTCATTAGGCTAAAGAAATCGAACCATTGATATTTGTGAAACAAAACGTGTGGGAGTATTTATTCTTGGTAAAGTTGAATCGTTAGAATGTACAAAGCGAAAATAAATCGGTCGGAAAAATACATGGTGTGTCCCTCTGAGAGTTGTAAGAGTACCTCCTCGTAAAGCGATCGTCTCAAAGTGTCACTTGCTACTTTCCGACACTAGTGATAGTTTTAGTAAGAGTTTAAGTGTAAACATAGGATGTTCGATTTTAAAAAGGAAATTTATTTCTCATATCAAAAATTCTTATGACTACTTATTGAAGAAGACATCCGAATTTAGATTCCTGACTGCACCTATGTAATGCTAATGCTATTATCTTTCAATCTACATTTACATTAGGCGCAAACAAAGAGCACTCAGATATATTTTTGATTAATGCTATTTTTCGTCGAGTTACAAGACTATCAAACCCATTGGAACTTATTAACACAAATACTTTAAAAAAAGATAGTTCATTACTAAATATTACCAAACAGCTCCAACTGGCAGTCCAGAAGGAGTAACCTGCATATCGAGTGGGTCCACATCACTACGAGTGTCATGGCGGCCGCCGGGCGTCGAAAACAGAGGAGGGCTCATAACTCACTATACTTTACAATATACGCGACGGGATGCCGATCCAATGCTGCCCACACAAGACGCCTATTTAAGGATACAGGTTGGTGTACTATTATCCTGCTAGTCTGTTGGTTTTGTGTCTGTGTTTGTTTTTACATTACAGTGTGAAACGTGAAATAAAAAAACGACAATTACAACGTTTATTGTACTCTCCTCTAGTCAGAGTGGCACTGAGTATAAATCAGATTTTACTGAAAGTCATGACCATTTTCATCCTTGAAAAATTCTTAATTTATCCACTTAACTTTTAAAACAATATAGATCTATAAATAAAGCAAGATCTTCCAACAAAGTAATGTTTCACTAATATATACACTCTTCCAATAAACCAAAGAAGTATCAAAACGCATAAGTATTCAAAATACATTCTCTGATATTGTGTGGTTTTCCTTTACAAAAGGGTGAAGAATCAACAGTTTCTCGATTGACGCCGTACGCTGAATACGAAATCCGAGTGAGGGCGCACAATGCTGCAGGGGATGGTCCTCTGTCCGCCCCACAAGTTTGTAGGACTGATGAAGATGGTAAGAAAAGTATATGAACTTTTTTATTTTTTAATATATTTATTGAACTTTATTAGATACAAAAACTTAATATGTCTACAAAACAGTTTTGTGTATTTATTAAGATCTTTTAATATTTTATTGGTGCAAAGCTTTTTAATCTAACCAAGATAATCATGAGCAGTATCGCGACAATTTCACCGATTGTATCTTTCCAAAGGTGGAAGTGCAATTTTTATCGTCAAGTATTTTCTTCTACAGAGAAAAAAGTGCAAACTTAGTCCTTCGTTTTCATGTATTTGAGACGCATAGAATTGGGTAGTTTCCTGGGTCAAAAATAAATTATTTTGATTTTTCAATCCAATTAAATATTGAAAAATAGTTACACTTTCATTCATTGATTTGCCGATATACTTAATTTTCGATTTATTCTTGCATTTTCTTCAGATATAAGTGTGCTATTTGACGCGAAAATATGATGACGTCATAAGCTAGTATTTCGTACAAAATTCATAGAACAGTATCGTTTTTGAAGTTTCGATAAAAGTATTGATTTTGACTAGTTGTCAACTACCGTATCGTTTTAGTGCTTTTTTGGGCAATCACTGTTATGGTTCCTGAGTATTTCATCATGATTTAGTCATCAGCTCTGTACAATGTTCTTGTTTTGCTCCAAACAGTGCCCAGTGCTCCAGGAGGGTTGAAATTGATAGCTCTGGGCGAAAGGTCACTGAGGGCCTCGTGGCTACCTCCTCCGGAACCCAACGGGAAACTTACGCACTACACGCTGTACGTCAAGGATCTATCGGGGTAAGTTCATTAGTGTAGGTATGTTCTCATTATCGTATGGAACATTAAGTTCATTCACATCTTTAAAGTTCATTTCTGCAGCCGTATTTATAGTCTACTACGTAAATGTAACGTCACACGCCCATACAATTTGTTCGATTTATATAGCGTTAACCTTTATTATATAATTGGTTACCAAATGTTTATGTTTTCGATCAATATTTGTTGGTTTTAATTGCGTTATAGGTTAATTTATTGAAGTGTATTAATTTTGTTAAAGACATCTCTGTATTATTCGAAAATAGGGTAGTTTCCTAAACCGACGGACTAATTAGATTTTTAATTTGATACCCTGGAAACTACCCAATTATGAATAGAATAAATTATAATCATCTATATGGTTAATAAACACTCATATTCATGTAAATACTAATGAAACAAACATTTTGTGTCGTATAAATTAATGCGTTAGACGACTGTCATTAATTTTCATTCTAAAATTAAATTATCAAACAAAATAATTGTAAACAGTCATTCAAATTACAGGTATTGATTTCTCGTTGGCAACTGGCGTTTAGTTTCGATGATATTGCGAATGTATTCTATACTGAACTCGTAAAATTGTTATTATTCTTTTTCTTTTCATGTTTTAACATTGAGAGTTTTTGTCAATCTAGTCAGGCAATTTAATTTAGTCATTGCATGGCATGGCATTGTCATGTTCATGGCAGATTCAATCTGATAAATCTCAATTTAGTCATTGCTTGACTACATTGAGAATTACTCTGAGATTGAACAAGATTTTTTATTAATAATTTTTTTATACATTAATTTAAAATCACCATGAACCAGATTAAGCTGAACGTGATTATTGTGTCATGTATCATCGATTGAGGGTGATAAGCTGTAGTCCTAATTCTAATTATTCCTAAACATTTCATTTTGTCAATGACATCCGCCTTTCACAACTCGCTAAGGTTGGTACACATTCCCAGTTAAATCCATTGTCAGATTTATGAGGCTTTAGACTACCCGTCCTATCATAGATATTTGTATGACAACCAGGATCAACGGCTGAACCAGTACACTAAAGCATAGAAGACAATTTGATTCTAAAAAAATAACAGTAGGTATTCAAAGTATAGATCTTTGTCATATAATCCTATCAAAGTGGACAAAGGTCCGTTCAGCTTCGGCATTGTTGTTTGCATAGCTAACCGATTTGTTGTGTTCGAAGAATTACTTAGGGTCAATCCTTTTCGTTCAATTCTACTCACTTTATACGAATTATATGTTGACTAGATGTGCTAGAGTTTCTTAAAATAGGATTTGCCAAAAGTCTTTTATGATGTGCAACTTCAAACTTCTGCGTTGAGTATGAAATTAAACTCCAAAAGGATACCGTAATTTAACCGTATTATAGCCGTAATCGGTGAAGACTCGAACAATTATGTCGCTTATGTCAGATTCGTTTAATTTTTAACATTAGAATCTATATCTATTCTATATCTACATATAATAAATTCGTAAGTCAAAACTGTACATTAAATATTTTTTTTAAAGTACAATACCAAAGCCAAACATATGCTTTTTAGAATTTATGTCTGTTTGTCTGTATGTATGTCCAGGATAATCTCCAAAAGTACTGCATGGATTTACTTTAAATTTTGCATAAATCTTACTAACAGATCGGGTCAACATATAGGCTACATATTATCACGCTATTATCTACGGTGGAGGAGCTGTGAATCACAACTCCATGCGAACGAAGTCGCGGACATCAGCTAGTTTTGTAATAAAGTAAAAATTGTGTTCAGAATTCGATATTCAAATATTAGAATCAAATTCCCTATAATAGCAATAAGAAATCTCAACTCAAAATAATTACATAGACCGGTAACAAATCAGAGTAGTAGAATGGTTCAACGCGACGTAGTCATAGCACAGGCTACAGAACGGAGCGTTAATGAGATTACACGGTAGGACGACCTCTCTGAGATGAGTGACAAAGCGAAAGGGATATTGCAGCGAGCTAGGTAAACTGAGGACTGAAACGTCCATGTTGTCCTTTGGTATATCAATCGAATAAGGTACGACGGATCTGAAATACCTTTGTTCATCAATACCAATTTTTTCTTTCAATAAATTCTTAGTAAATCTTAACCTACACTTCAAATCATATCGATATAAATACGAACGTCTATGACAGTTGTTAAGATTTCTCAGAAGGCGGACAACGAGTCTAACAAAGAATATACGTGTATATGACACCTTTAGCGGATCCAGGAAGGCAGATTACTCCATGTAAAAATTATGTTTACTAAAAATATACTAATAAACATAGTGATTAAAACGTACTGTTGTTGTGACTGCCCGTTGGCCAAGTGGTCGCAAGTGTGACTACTGAGCAAGGGGTCTAGAGTTCGATCCCCAGGTCGAGCACAGTGTTATTACAACATAACATCACGCCTTTTTATCCCCGAAGGGGTAGGCAGAGGTGCACATTTCGGCACTTAATGCCACTGTATGGTGTATGCAACACTCACTTTTCACTATTTAAGTTATGAGTCCCATGTAATAGGGGGTGAGCCTATTGCCATATACCGGGCACATTTTTCCAGACTCCGTGCTACTACTGAGATTTTTAAAAACCACAGTGTTATTGGGTATTTTAAAAATTCTCAATTGTAGCACGGAGTCTGGAATAAGGCCCAGTATATAGCAATAGGCTCACCCCCTATTATATGGGACTCATAACATATATTGAAAAGTAGATGTTACATTGTACAGTGGCATTAAGTGCCGTAATGTGCACCTTTGCCTACCCCTTCGAGGATAAAGGTCGTGATGTTATGTTATGTTGTCTACAAATCTAGTCACAAAAAAGCAAGAAGTATGATCGGTCGGTGGTTGCCGCGACCATCAGTCATTCTTCAATTTTAAAGAAAGAATATTTCAAAAATCCACTCGCCCCAAGTACATATCCGCCAGCGATTACAAAAGCAATTATGTGGTTAAACCACTGTAAGTACCAGTTAATAAATAATTGAAACAGAACCCTACCTGGCAGGGGAATAAGCAAAGTTGTTCAGCAATCAAAGTTAAATACCGCTTGTCCTAACCACTTCGCATAGTTTGTTCAGTAACAGTTTTGATACTTTAGTTCAACCGAATGATACAATAGTTAAACTGCCATCCTTTACTCACTACGCCCCTTTGCCAGATTTAATCCCTTCGTAGCATCTAAAGGATTTTGCATAACAGTATCAAATATCTGCATAGGTTATTGCAAGCATATTGGTTTATAAAGGGTATAGGAGCTGCCGGTAACTCGGAATTTCTACGACGATAATAACATTTCATGTGTGTTCAAATGTGTAGTGCGATATCTTGTGTATATGGTTGGATACACTGGGTATTTAAGGAGATTTCTAGTCGAATTTTTGTTTTTTTTTAAATCTGTGTCGTGGGTGCGTTTACAGACAAGTTTACAATCGCTTACCTCTTAGGTCACAAGAACCCAACGTGACCCGTGTGAACGCGTGCACAGAAGTCGAAGGAACTACTACGGAGTGCATGCGCACGATGCGTGGTCTCCGTGCAGGTCGCACGTACGAAGCGTGGGTCCGCGCTGCCACTGCCGCTGGGGAAGGTCCACCATCACCTGCCGTCGCTTGCCAGACCAGCTCGTTGGGTAAGTGTCTTGTATTTTGATTCTGCTGTCGTCGTCGATTTGGTGAATTTCTTGAATTTATTTTATCAATATGAATACATACATAAATACTTAAAATACAAATAAGATATGGTAAAAAAATAATGCTAATTTTTGACTTTAAGTTGCATAAGCACGTTATATTGTGTGAAAAGTATGTTTTAGAGATCAAGCGAACTAGCATATAAAGCGAAACAGATTTGTACGGTATCTGTTTACTTGTATAGCACCGGGTCGTATCTCGTCATTTGGTGGCGTGGCACTGGGTGCGGCGGGCGGGTCGCTGTCTCTTCGATGTGTAGTGGGTGGTGCACCGCCTCCCGCCAAACGATGGCTCCGAGCTGGTGCACCGCTGCATCCCCGACCACCCTTCCATCTTGATGGAGATGCATTGCTTATACGAGGTAAGAGCTCCATAAAATATTATGCTTATACCACTTGTATTTGTTCTACCCATATCATATTTGAGGCAAAAATGGGTGTTATGATGTTAAATATCTTGCTTAGAATATTTAAAAATAACTTAATTTTTGGATAAATTAATTGGAATTCTTATGACTTATTCACGTGAACTATTTGAGAATAGCTCTACTAGTTTCAAATCACACTGAGACCCTTATTCATGAGCAACATGCGAGAAGCGATGTAATAGTGCATCCAAATGGCCTACGAAGTAGTTGCACGATATCGCCTTATATGACAAACAATACAACAAAAACCCATTCTAACAGGTTTAGAGTTATCACACGCCGACAACTACACATGCGTGGCTGAGAATCCACATGGTTCCGACTCAGCAACATGGAGAGTGATAGTATTGAGACCGCCGGCACCACCAGGACTAGCGTTACTTGAAGCAAGGTCCAGGGAACTAGAGCTTGAACTACGGCCAGCGCCAAGATCACCTGGACATGCCATTCCTAAAACTTACAGCTTACATTGGCGGTTAGCAACACCAGAGGTAAGAAAATATCGGGTTAAACTGTCAAACACCGAGCGGTCACCGGTGATCGCAACCTATTGTTCTTTAATTGTGCCTATAATGACGGTACTCAAAGAGTTAATAGTCATTATTTCATAATAGTTTTTTGTTCCCCACAGAGGTTATTCTGTTGCATGTCCAAATATTTTCTGGTTTTTTTTTCTAAACTCGTAATTGACGAGATTCGATCAATCAAGCGTGTTAATATACACAGTCGTCAAAAATATTAAAGTCCCAAAATATTATTAAACATAATTCACATACATACCTGGATAAAGCATAGAAAAGTGGGTCATCATTATTAAAAGATTCCTGGAAACGTGCTCTATCAATCACTCACATTTCAAATCCATTTTAGGGTGAATGGCGGATTCAATTAGCCACTCCTGGCCCGGTAACATTATCTGGCCTTCGTTGTGGTTCCGCATACAGAGCTTATGGTTCCGCTGGAGGTGCTCCAGGGTCGGAATTGGCTGTAAGGACTTCTGGAGGTCCACCCACTGCGCCTCCAGATGCAAGGTGGATAAGAGCTAATGCCACCCATGCAAGGTTTGATACCAGTGCGTGGGGTGATGGTGGCTGTGGACCAGTTGCTTTGAAGCTGGAGTGGGCAGGATCTGGAGTAGCAGGCGCTAGAGACGTGCCTGTAGGAGGAGAAGTTATATTAGGAGGTAAGTTAACCATTTCACTTTCGGATTTCCGTGTGATCTTTGAGGGTTGACAGTATAATGAATGTGGAGAATTATTATAACTACTTAACAACAAAACTTCTGCTCGTTATAACTTCGTCTTCTTATAAGTTGTAAAGGTCAAATGTAACGTACAGTTCCGATCTACGATATCGTACCATTGATGTTCTAAGAAATACAATAATTATAGTTGTTGGGTTTTACGTGGTAACGCAACACTTTGTAAATATAAACTCGACATTACTTTGAATGTAACAAATTTATATCAGCCATGTAACTACTTAAGTTAATTTTAGGTAAGATAGTTGTTAGACCTTGAAGTTAAAAATCTATACCTACCAACAATCAAGCAAATCTCCTTTGGTCACTCACTTAGGTCTATCGCCGGGTTCTCGCTATCGAGTAGCAGCGCGAGCGTCGAACGAAGCAGGCTGGACGCGTGAAGTATTTGAATTCGCGACGCAAGCGGCAGACGGCCATCTTGCGGAAGAAGTTGACGCGCCGTTCCCGGCCACTGCAGGGGAACTCGCTCTATTACTTGCATTATGTGCTGCATTGTCACTGGCCGCACTTACTATACTAGCCATACTGTTGAGGAGGAAAAGGTGAGTGAATTCATGTATTCAGAACTAAACCTAAATATCAAGTTCCTTCAGTTGATTTTTCTTTTTGTGCTTGCAGTATGTGTTTGGCCCATTTTTATTCCAAGGTTGATTTACGAACAATATTAACATGTACTCCAAAGTTTGAGTGTGCTATCAATTAATTAGCTATAACCACATCACTTCCTATACAGTTCCGCGAGAGTACGAAATTAATCTTATCAATATTTATTAAATTACGAGCTTCTAAGGAAATGTTATATGCCTAAATAACAGAGAGAACATAGAATATATAATTAACTTTTGGTTAAAATTTGACAATATTTATATGTATCGATAGCATCCTATTACATCTTACTGTATAGAAATATTAACTACATGAGAAAATATTGATAGCAATCGAACAAGAACGAAAGGAGAACAAAGAAAAATCATTAAGCTGAGTTCGGAAAAATATGATTAGTAAAAATAAAAGGATGGATCGTTAGCGTTTGTGATCTGCGTGTGACAAAGTGCTGACATAAGCGGTGTCGCTCCATCGACCCTTTTCACTCCTAGTCTTAAAGAGCCGACGTGTAACATGACGTTTGAACGTACCTTTGACGCGAATGATTCGTTTTTACGTCACAATTTATGTTGAATTTATTGACTCACCTTCAGTCTGCATGATTAAATACGCCCTGTATGTTTGTGATCGATAGATTAGAACGTCACGCATTTTATTCCAAGAAAGGTAGAGGTGCTCTTAGGTAGGTATTATTCAATATTTCTCAAGGTAATCCTTGGATTCTTCTATACTCTTATTCTTCTTTGATTCTCCTTCTTGGATTTTCTTATTTTGGATGATCATTAAGTCATCCAATGAATTATTTTGAATCACATCGATAAATTCGAGAATGACAATTATTTTAAATTTTGTATGTTGAAGTCTATTTCAAATTCTGAAACGCATACACACATCTTAAATTTTGTTGTTTTTATTATATTTTAGCTCTGAATTCTACAATTAATTGTAAAATTCATAAATGATGATATTAATAATTTAAATGAAGAAATAAAGGTTTTAAAGATGCAACTAACTGCTGCGCATCAAGAAATAGACAATCTGCATTGTGAAAATTTTAGATTGAAATCAGATTTACAAAAAGCAATAAAAAATGTTGAAACGTATAAAACTATCTGCACAACACCTGATAGAAAAGTAAACACACCATCATCAAACTGTAAGAAGAGGTCTAGACAGCAAACATCGCGAATTACGCAAAATAAGGAACTCGACACAAGTGACTTAAATCTAGGAAAACGTAACTCCCACGTTATGCTAGATAAAGAAGTACAAACTGTCTGCCACAACAAGGACGCTAAAACACAAACACAGTACGACATTCAGGTATCAATAGAAAAATGCAATATTGCTAACAAAAGTTTGACAGGCGCTAAGTTAAAACATAAAATTAAACAGAATAAAAATAAATTATGCATAATAAGCAGTGGCTGCACAAAAGGTACCCTACCCCTTATTGAAGATATTTTTTCGGATCATTTTGACTACTGCCATTACTTATTACCAAAGACTATTACAAAAGACTGGTTGAGAACTATTGGACATAAGCTACAAAACTATACTATAAATGACTACTGTTTGATTTTTATCGGCGAAAATGATATAAAGAACGAAGAATATACAGACATTTTACACAGCCTAAGCTCCTCGTTGAAAACTGTAAGCCACACAAATAACATAGTATGTACACCTACTTACATAAAAGGTGCTCTCATACACAACTACAAAGTCGAGCTGTTCAATAATCTCCTGTACTTGGACATAAATAAACAAGAATACGCCTATTTCTTCGACAGTAACTACTCTTTGTCGCATGAAATGTTCTCTTACAAGACTGGCATAATTAATAAAACCGGATGGAGAAAGATTTACGAAAAAATTAGGACGAATATAATGATCGATTACAAACTATTTTCTGTACGTGATAATTGGTCAAACATTGAATTGAATCAATATAATGAGAACGACGACAACCCACATAAAACAGACGATGACGCATTTTTTCGTAACCACTCAGAACTTATGTGTACTACATCAAAATATTGCAGGACTACTAAACAAATGTGACTCAATCTCGGTGATCCTCGATGAACTACTAGATGAAAATATTGATGTCGATATTTTGTGTTTCACGGAACATTTCATCATGTCAGGACATGAGCCACTGTTGCATATTCAGGGCTATCAATTGGCATCATGCTTTGCCCGAATGGAAAGCAAGAGAGGAGGATCATGTATACTTGTCAAACATGGTCACCGATATAAGGAGTTAAAGGAAATCTACAAGTTGTCTGTAACTGGGGTAATTGAATGCTGCGCAATAGAACTAACCGAATACAGAATAGCTTTGGCATGTGTATACAGGGTTCCTAAAGTTAACAATTTTGGTATCTGTATCGAGAAATTACAAACAATGTTGCACATATTATGTAAAAATCATTATGCTAATATTATAATAGCAGGTGACTTTAATGTGGATCTAATGAAACAAAGTTTACAGACGTTAGATTTTGAATGTGTTTATAAACTTTAATTTAAAATTCGCAGTCATCAAAACACGTTTAAAAAGTCAAACATGCATTGACAACATAGCCCATAACTTTAATAAGAAAACTTTTACTCAAGTGCGCGAACTAGGTTTATCTGCACACAGCACAAATATTCAACTTTCCCGTCAGTAAAATTGAATAATAGGTATTGGCGAGTCACTACAAAAGATTACTGTGAAGAAAACATAAAAAAATTCAAACAATGTTTAAAAAGCATATCATTCTCGAATATATATGAAACCACTGACCCTAATATAGCTTACAATTGTTTCTTGGATACATTTGCTTTGTACTATAGATTATGTTTTCCTAATGTAACTAGAGTTGTTAACCTTGTGAAAAAGCCTAAATGGATATCTCGCGGTATAAAAATGTAGTAAAAAGAAACGCCAATTACTATGGCAATATAGGCATAAACAAAACGAAGTAAATAAAAAAACTTTTGTAGACTATGCTAAAAGACTAAAGCTAATAATGAAACTTACTCGAAAGGCGCAAAATACCCATTCAATAAAAACTTCTTCATGTAAATCTAAAGCCACGTGGAGAATAATTAATGACTCTAAACTTAATACACCTAGGGACATAATAAGAAAAATTCAAATTGAAGAGAACATGATCACGAAACCTCGAGACATAGCAAACGCATTTAATAAATATTTTATAGAAAAAATAACACCTATTAATAATTCGTGTGAAAATGTAACATCCCTAATAGATAACAGACTCAATTCTTTCTATTTGGCTCCCTGTGTACCTGTTGAAATACATAAGATAATAAACACATTGAAAAATACTCATAGTGAGGGATATGACGGTATTTCAACAAAGGTCATAAAAGCTGTAGCCAGCGAAATTTGTACACATTTGTCCTACATTATAAACCTAAGCATAGATGCTGGCACTTTTCCGGAAGCACTTAAATATCGATAGTGAAACCTCTATTCAAAAAGGAGAACAGGGAACTTATGCAATTCTACCGACCTATCTCCCTTATAAGTGTAATATCTAAAATATTTGAAAAACACATATATAGACATTTATACAACTATCTTGAGAAAAATAATATACTTACTACAGAACAAAAAGGTTTTCGTTCTAATAAAACAACAAATATGGCTATTTATGACTTTGTGTCTACAGTAATAACAAATGTTGATAAAACCACTCCTGTAAGCACCATATTTTGCGATATGACACAAGCATTTGACTATGTCTGTCATAACACTTTGATTAAAAAATTGGAAGCATATGGTATCCGAGGTAACGTATTGCGTCTTATAGAATCGTACATTAGGAACAGACAACAGTGCACAGAAATAAAGTCGATAAATACACACACAAAACAAGAAGAAATTTATAGATCATCTTGGCGTGTTATCAGATACGGTGTACCCCAAGGCAGTGTTTTAGGTCCTTTACTATTTATCATTTATATCAATGATCTACCCAAAAGCATCAACAATACGTAACTTTATTCGCCGATGATAGTACCATAACTATACCATGTAAAAGTCGAGATACCTATAACGATAACATTAATAATTCGCTAATGTCTGTTATACAATGGTTAGAAAACAATAATTTAAAAATCAATTTGGAAAAAACGAATATCATGCACTTTACACAGAGAGGATCTACCATGTCTAACCTAAATATACACTACAATAATAAAATAATTAATGAAGTTGACAACGCGAAATTCTTGGGTGTAATCATTGACAAGAAACTAAATTGGAAAGCACACACAGAATCCCTAATAAAAAAAATAAGTAAATCTTGCTATGCAATTTATAAATTAGTTCCAGTGCTCAACATTGACGCCCTCCTTACAGCATACCATGGTTTAGTTTCATCCAATCTAAGATACGGCATTATATTTTGGGGGAATTCCACTAATAAAGAATTAGTATTCAAAGCCCAAAAGCGTTGCTTGAGAACCATGTTTAAGTTAAAGGTCACGGACAGCTGCAAGCATTTTTTCATAAAATATAAAATATTGACTGTACCCTCTCTTTATATTTTAGAAAGCGCAATGTTTATTAAGAGCAACCTAACCCTATTTCCACGTCTAAGTGATACGGTTGTCCGTAATAGACGTGATAATAGCAAAATTAGATTAATTTATTCAAAAACTAGCTTAATGAATAACAGTATATATTGCATGGCCCCAAAAATTTATAATAAAATTCCTAAGCTCTGGAAAGAATACAACACAAATATATTCAAAAATAAATTGAAGGATTTTCTCACCAATAAGGCCTATTATAGCATTAGGGATTTTCTACAGGACCACATAGACTACTAACTATTATGACACATTTTATTTTTCAATATTATTATTAATATTATATATTTGACATTTTATATTAAAGACATATGAATTGTATTCACTCTTGTTTTTAGCTTTTATTGACATATTAATTTTATTAATTACATTCACATTTCATATATGTAATTGACTAAAGACGGAATGGACATGATGGTTCTTGGGCTTGTTGTGGCTGCGTGTATGACGGTCAATTATAATAAACTTAATTTGTTTAACATTGCTTGTGTGACATTGATAATTGATGATTACCTTTTTACATAATATATTTAATTTGACATTACATTTTTGACTTCAATGGTATTAATAATTTTAATTTATTTGACATACTGTATTCAATTTAACAAAACTACAATTAATTAAACTTAATGTACCTAATTTTATTATATAAATTTTTTATAACATATCTTTGCATGCCAAGTGATGGCAAAATATGGAGAAACTGTATATTTTGTTAATACCTATATTATGTACCCATATTTGCAAACGATTAAATGAATTTGAATTTGAATTTGAATTTGAATAAAATTCCAACATGAATCATTTTAGTTATCTCGTTAGTCACCTCTCGAAATTATTTCTAATTTATTTTTTATTATTAACGTATTGCAAATTGGATAGAGCGCTGTTAATCAATTGGTAACAGTTGATTATGATTGATTCGTACATTCTATTTTACGATGTGTTTGAAGTGACTCATTTTATCTTTTAGTCCAATTTATTGGTTATATTACCTACATAACATGCATGGAGTAAATATAAATATTTTTATTACAAAAAGGATTAATCAAGTACATATTATACTTACAAGAAACTCGACGGAAAAATTCGTAAGAAAAGCTAAATCGCATAGAACTACTACTGGTGCGCTACCTTAAGAAAATTCTCGGTACTCGCAACTTATATTTAAAATCCTCGCATTTCACAAACACAAAAAGGAAACATTTTACACAATAATAGAATACAAGCTGCAGAACTTAATGATCGTCCTTGTTGCACAGGAACGGAAAAATAATTATCAAAACCTAACAACACAATGAGAACTGAAAATTTACGAGCCGTAAAATAATCCGCAGCAGTTAGTTAGTCAACAGGCGTCGTTGTAAACGTGTTTTACGATCGACTTGTAATAAATTTACCCTGTACATTGTATGAATATTCAGGCTATATTCATAAATGCTGGAATCCGAGCTACACGTGACCTACATATCGCATAAATGTGCATACTACGGAAATGCACTATCAATATGCCATTACGTTAATGAAAAATGTTCTTAGAATCCTTTGTATCTCCGACAAAGAATCGAATATACTGTTGTTACGTTTGTAAGAAGAATTGTACAATATTTAATTCAGCGTAAAATCCAAATATTTGATTTCATAAAAGGTGTCCCTTTTTATTCAAATAAATATAAATTTTGACATTTGCAAAATCAATTACATTACCTGAAACATAAATTACAATTTCAGCGCCTCAATTTTATTAAATCACAGGCCAGTGATTTGTTGCCACCATTTTTAATTTAAAATGCAAATGTGTGTTGTTGGTTAAATGTGTTTATGTTTGAAAAATGAAAATATAAGAATAATACAAGAATACATCAACAATCCCCTATTACATGGGCCTGATATTATAAATAGTGAAAGTGGGTGTTACATTGTACAGTAGCATAATGTATACCTATCCCTGCCAAAAGGCGTGATGTTATATACATCAACAACATTTTTCGTAAGTGAAAACCCGACGCGTGGTCAATGTTGTAACACTACAAACATCAAAAAAAATCAATGCTTTAGCATTGATTTTTAGCCATTCTTAAAGCCATGTTTGTTGTCGGATTTTTTTTAGGTAAACCTAAAAAAAATCTTTTCATTTTAAAAAATAAACGTAATTTAAACTGTCAAACACCAAGCGGTCACCGGTGACCGCGACCTGTTCTTTAATTGTGTCTATAAAACCGGTACTCGACGAGTTAATAATCAACCACTGACAAGCGTTCAATGATATATGCACAATTGCACAGCGTCGGTGGGCGTGCATATTTATGACAACAAATATTTTCATTTTAAATTAAAAATCGTGCGCACAAATCACTACCTCGTCATTCGATAAAGGTTTGTTGGTGTTTTAATAATTGTAACTGTTTTGTAAACCAGGACTGAAGGGGCAGTAGCCCGAGTGTCGACTAATGCTGAGAAACCAGCTTGTGGCACTTACAGAGCACCTCAACATCAAGCCACGAAATTACCCCCAGATCCGCCAGGTAAGGAATATTCACATCAAATTACTAACAAATACCTTGTTCAAAAATAATGTCTAAATCTATTGAAGATAACTATCTTTGCTTGCCTTTAACTAAAACTACCTATGATGATTTCATTCAATATAAAGGCAATTAGTGCCAGAAGATAGAACGATATTTGATGAATTATGCTAAAACAAACGCGATTTTTCTAAGAAATACGCAAATATAAAACTAATGAGACCGTCATGCTCCTCAAATCGTGTACACCAACATTGTTTGTGTTCGGCAGACATTTCCTAAGCATCTGTTTTGGAAGTAGTTTTATTTTTGTTTACGTTACACGTGCCCGCCAAACAAAGCATCGAGTGGCAAATTTCCGGATTTTGACGATCTGATAGTAAATTGAATGAAAATAAAATCTTTTTGCCTCGAGCCAGTCCACCCACCACCATCTAAAGTTAAAATAATTTCAAGCTACATTTTAACCTTGCTTGCATTTTTATTCTGATTTTACGAAGAGAACATCGTAGGTACATTATTTCCCAGAAATGTGTTCCACACGCAAATTAATAACATTTTAAAATCCTCCTTCAAAAAAGATCCAATAGTTCAGGTCCTCGTACTTTTCATTATCAATTTTCTTTAAAACCTTGGGAATAAAAGCTGCTAACAATTTTTATGCGTCGAGAACCTTTTACAGGCTTTCAAGACATTTACTCTGGGGGATTTAATATTTAATACTCCGGTTCCAATTTTATAAAAGATCCCTTTAAGCTTAGGAATGGGCTCTAATATCGCAATGTGTATCTATGGGAAGTAAATGCTACTTTAGGCACGCTGATTGAAAAATTTTAGACCCTCAAAATAGGAACATTATTAAAATTTAAGCTCCGTTATTAATTAAATATAAATCTTGTTCGCAAAAGTAAAACATATTCCAAATTAAAAACACATATTTTCCCGATCACAGCGCAAAATAAATCCGTTAATTCCGTCGAGGCCGCTCGGACGAATAATTAGCTACGCGTTCGTAGCGGGCGTAGCGAGCGTACCGGATTGTAGTCGCCGCGTAGCATTTATTTTCTGTATTATTCACGTTTATCTACGGTAACCCTGGATGCCATGAATCATTTATTTTTGTGTCAATACCGACAGTTTATGGCTCAACTTGTGAATAAATGTAGGTATAGAGATGCGTTAGAGCCTTATATGCGCTATGAAATACTGAATACTACAAACTTGACTTTATTCCTATTTTACTATTTTTTTACAGATGCTCTCGGTAATATTTTTTATTTATTATTGCATTTTTAGAAGTGCTATAAAGTAATATCTACTTCAAGGGAAAGAAATTGGGGTAATCAAACGACAAATTTATAAATAACTAGTTTTAAAATGCCTATGTATCACTTCAGACCATAATCTACCTCTGTTCCGAATTTCATACTTTTTTTCACTTCTTCACACACTTCACACCTTCAGTCATTTTAATATGACTGAGTAACAAACATACACATAAACTCACATATTTTCATTTTTAATATCGAGTCAAGCTAATTTCAATCATTGGCCTTTCAGTTACAGCGTAAAGTCTATGAATCAGTATTGTAAACGTTAGAGTAGACAAATACAATCAGAAATCACCGAATTGCTAAGCTATCGGGAGTTTCACGTGTTATTGTGAGTCAAACATAAAAGATAGACATATGCTGTCGAGGAATATTTTTTATATAATTTTAAGGAGAATATTTCCGTCATACATGATTTCTATGCAGCTTTAACCTATAAGCCTGCACACGCGACGGAAGCTTAAAAAATGGAGTAACTTCTCCCGTTTTCCCAATATTTCCCTTCACTGCTCTGCTCCTATTGATTGTAGCGTAATGAAAAGTATACTATAACCTGCCCAAGAGTATGAAGAATAATTGTGCCAAATTTCGTTAAAATCCATCGAGTAGTTTTTGTTTCCATAACGAACATACAGACAGACAGACAGACAGACAAAAATTTTACTGATTGCATTTTTGGCATCAGTAGCGATCCCTAACCACCCCTTGATAGTTATTTTTTTAATATATTTTATGTACAGAATTGACCTCTCTACAGATTTATTATAAGTATAATAAGTATAGATTAGGTACGTATTTTAAGCGGTTAGTAAATGAGGTTAACATCTGAAAGACCTTGCATAAAATTAAAAAAAAACTCAGCAGCAATTTGCACATAATGTACCGATACATAAATAAATAATGAAACATAAACGTACTTGTACACAGATGTGTACGAAATAAGTCCATACGCGACGTTCGCGGGAGGCGCGGGCGCGGTGTCGGGGAGCGGCGCGCGCGCGTACACGCTGCAGCTACGCGCGCTCGCGCGACACGACGACGACGCCGCGCCGCCGCAACACCCTGCCTGCTGCGACGGTAAACTATACCTATATTAGACGGATATTAAACTGTCAAACACCTGGGCGTCTAGCCAAAAGCCACTTTAGCGCTTGTCTACAGTGAGAGTAGAAATCAAAATGTATGGGGATGACACTGACAAGTGTCAAAATTTATGTCAATTCCATATAATTTGGTTTTCTATTCTACATGTAGACAAGCGCTAAATGGCATTTGGCTACAGCTGCAGGACACCGGTGACCGCTACCTATTGTTCTTTAATTGTGTCTATAATGATTGTACTCAAAGGGTTAATAAAATAAAAAAATAGATTTTCTATATTATTAGTATGAACTTATAAACTAATATTAAATGTTCCTACCAATTATTCAATATTCTTTATTATCACGCAAAAATTGAGCTTATTCATATCTTTGCTGATTGTACGCCACCAACAAAATTTGCAACAGAGATATAGAATTCAAAGTGATTTCAAGATATTAGAAATATTCGGTTGTCTAAATAAATTCCAAGAGTCATGAAAATTTTATCAAATGCTCAGTGTAATATTGTGGTAAATAATAAATTAGATATTATTTTTGTTATACAGAAGAAACGTGCGTAGACGCATGCGACGCTCAGCGGCGACGGAGACGCCGACGACATTATTGCCCGGACCACGGTAAGAGTTTACAAAATATAACATTACTGGTATTTAACATATATAACTTCGTAGGTACACGATGTCTCGCCTTTATTGACAAAGCCATAAAGGATAAGCAGAAGTACTGATTATTCTGAAATCAGTGCTCACTAAGAATATATTTAAAATGACGTTGCATACAATACAAAAAGCTCAATGGTCAATGGTCACACTTGTCACCATTGAGCTAACGACACAACATGAATCAACATAACGTCACGCCTTTTTTCCCCGAAGAGGTACGCAGGGGTGCACATTATGGCTCTTAATGCCACCGTACCATGTAATACCCACTTTTCACTATTTTATGTTATGAGTCCCATGTAATCCCGGGCACAATTCTAGATTCCGTGCTACTACTGAGGATTATTTAAAACCCAGTAATACTTTGTCCGACCCGGGAATCGAACCCGACACCCCTTGCCCGGCAGTCGCACTTGCGACCATTCGGCCAACGAGGCAGTCAGTGAGCAGTGAGCTGACGAGGCAGTATATAATTACTTTAACTCTTTCAGTCACAATTTTAACTGGTTACGAATATATTTTATTGATATATACTGAAATGCTTAAAAACCAATGCAAACAAATTTGAAGCATACTTCAAAAATTGAATTTCTAAGAAAAGGTGGTTAGCTACAGTGACCACCAAGACTGAAAGAGTTAAAATATGTAATAACGTAATCCTAACTAATTAAGCTAACTAATAAAATCGTTCATTTGTCCACAGGTTGCTCACAAGATTCAGGAAGTTGAGAAACGAAACTGCCAAATTGTTTAGTGACAAGTATCTAGTCAGTGTAATATTATAGTTAATTCGGTTATACATATTAATATGTATACAAAAATTTATACAATAATATTGTCTATTTATATTACGATGTTTTTCTTAATTCTACCTATTTTCCCGAAATTTTCAATAAAAAGATAATGTGACACATTATTTATGTTCGTAATTATTTTCCTTTTAAAAATATCCTTTAAACGCATGAGTAACAGAAAAAAGCAGATAACAATACCTATATATAATCTGAAAATTTTAATAAATTGAAACTACAAAATGCCCATTTGTACTTATCTATCAATGGTTCAACGATGCTATTCCAGGCGATCCAAGCTGTACACTTGATATATCCCCAAGATATATATCATGATCGATACGATCAAATTTTGGGGATTTTAGGTACAAAATCCCCAAAATTTGATCTAAGAATCGGAAATGCCGCAGAGAACCTAACAGGTTACCGGGGCTCCGGTTCGAAGTCTAGGAGTAGGAATGGGGTAGTTTTTAGTCAGTAAGAGTCTGACACTCCCTCTCGCTTCATCCAGGGGGGAGAAACCATTCGATGATTTTCCTCCCTTAAAAAAAAGCATCGGAAATAAGGTCTATAACGTAGTTAGTAGACAACAGTCACCAGTGACTGCTTGGAGATTGATCAGCTGTAATATAACTAGAGTTCAATAACCCTCTTTAAAAGAAAAAAAGATATCTAATAACATCAACAAAAATCCCTATGATAAAGTCCAGAAGCTGACCAAATATCTTAAGGCAAATGTCCATAGAGTCTATACACAAGGGGTTTGCAAAAAAATTGCCTTCTTAAACTCCAACAGGTTATGGGCAGACCCTTTTAAAGGCTCGTACTAAGAAAAGGAAAGAATTACTTCCATATATCCTTGCAAGAAAGCTTGCAGTATCTACAAAGACACTCGTAAATTCTTGTTATACATTCGATTTTGTTTGTTGTATTCGACTTTTGTTTTTGGGAATACTAAAATATAAAAATTATACCTGTATTTTCTGAATGACACATATATTTACTTATTACAAGAAACCATTGTAATTCAAGCTGTACTGAGAATTTCGGAATCGGAAATCAATCTTGTTTGTTGTACATTCAATTCAAAATGTGTTTTTCTATTGAACATAAAATGTCGCGGAGAACCTAACGGGACTCCGGCTCAACGTGCAGGAGAAGGAACAGGGTGGTTTTTTAGTCAGTAAGAGTCTGACACTCCCTCCCGCCTCAGCCAGGCGGAAGCAGTCATTCGATGATTTCCCCCCTTAAAAAAAATCAACATAAAATATTATTTAAAATAGTCTTCTTAGCCTTTTTTATAGTTTTTAATTGTTTTGCTGCACTAACATTAGGAACGAAAGGGTATAAAAATTAAGAATTATATTTAGTGCGTCATACCACTTAGAAGGAAAGAAAATAAATCAATTATTTCCTAATAATTTAGGTATACATATAAGTTGAAACGTATGTAATTGACTCAATACATTTTACTTACTTTTCGTAAATATTGTATTTGAATTTAAATTACAATTTGATATAAATGTCATTTATGAATGATACATTCCAAAAGAAAAGATTTTTTCGTCAAAAGGTATGAATTTTAAGATAGGTAATTGGCCAAAATGTTACAATTGGTTAGTTTCCAGGGTATGAAATTTTTTTTTTTTTTTTTGCCCCACACTAGGATTTTCTCCTGTGTCGTGGGTGCGTTTACAAACATACAAGTTCACAGAACACAATGACACCCAGACCCGAAACAACAAACTTTGTGGATCACACAAAGTGTTGTCCCGTGCGGGAATCGAACCCGCGACACGTTGCACGGCAGCCGGTTGCCCAGCCACCGCACCAACCGTGCAGTCGAAATTAAAAATCTATTTAGTCCTTTAGTTAGATAATGAAAAAATATTAGACACGTATTTTTTTCTCGTATTAAGTTGCAATTCTTAGATAAAATGGCGCTAAGTTTATGAGTGGGAGGTCGTTACTTCGCACGATATTTCAAAATAGTAAATATTCGGAAATATTTAATTTTGTGAGAAAAAAAATGTTTCTTAAGTTTTAAATTAATTTACCAGACGGACATTAAAATAATATTTAGGAAACTGCCCTATTAAACTGTACTGTACAAAAAAGAAATAATTAAATGTGATTCAAAACCATAACGCAAGTACTTAGTCCAAAATATAACGTTAGTTAGATAATGAAAAATATAATACAAGTATTGTTTTTTGCGTAAGGAGTTAAACCTTTATATCAAACGATATTTTATACAACACATTCTCCAGGCTGTTTTGAAAAATGAGAGGTAAAGAGAAGAGTGAGGATACGCCCTTATGATATGGGAAATCCGTACCAAAATGCCTTTAATCCCATCGGATAAGAGCAACATGAAACGCTTATGTGGCATTAAATGGCTGTGACGGCTCGTAAATATTATAAACCGAATAATACTATGTTAATTAACATATACATAGAGTTATGAAGACGTTGGTTATCTTATTTACGGTTTTAAATGCATTGATCGAATTAAAATTAGAAAATGGTAAGTCAAATTAAAAAAAATCCTTGCCCCACTCTAGAATTTTCTCCTGTGTCGTGGGTGTCTTTAGAAACATACAATATCACATACACATGACACTCAGACCATAAACAATTTGTGGATCACACAAAGAGTGGCTCCGTGCGGGAATCGAACCCGCTATACGTTGCGCGGCCACCGCGCCAACCGTGCAGTTGAAAATTCGTTATATCGTTGTAATAAAACGAATTTATAAATTACATGGACATAGGTAATGAATAAGTTCAAGAACTGGCGATTCCTATGAAATACAGAGATACTACAAAAATAGTTAATAATTTACTAAGTAATTGTTCGCTCGGAGTCCAAAACAAAAAGAAGTTCCCAGGTACAATAAACTATTGAAGCATGTCATTTGTAATTCTTTTGAAGTCAATTGGAATGATGACAGGGTATGAAAACTAAAAATCTAATTAGTCCGTAAGTTAGGTAACTAAAAAATATTAGACACGTATTTTTTATTTTGTCGTATAATAAAACAATACTTAGATATAACGAATCAAAGTTTAGGAGTGGGGGCTAAAACGTCATTTCTACGTATAAAATGCACATAGAAGTGACGTCACGCGACATTTCAAATCAATATATCGTCGAAAGTATTCGTTTCTGTCAGAAAATAAAAAATACGTGTCTAATGATTTAAATAATCTACCAGACGGACATTAAAATAAAAATTAGGAATCTACCCTATTGTAGCCCCGTACTGATGATTTATGATTTTTACGGCATTCTAATAAATAAAACATTATTAACACAATAAACGCCATGGGTGTCACCGGTGACCGACGACGTTAGCGGAGATTTTGCCTCCAACAGTTTTCTATTGGCAGTCAAAACGTTAAAAATATTCGCAGTTTCCATCTGAAATGAAATGAAAAGTGTTTTATTCGGCATACGGCATGAATGCCAGGAACAAAAAAAAAACAATATTTGACAAAATAACAACATAAAGATTTAAAACAAGAGAGTGTAAAAAGCTAAAAACAGCTAAATTATAAAACTAAAACAAGATAATAAAAAAAGATATAACATACTGCGTGGTGTTGGCAGACATGCCCAAACGGAATGGGTCGCCAAGTCAGCAATAAGCTGGGCACAATGAGCACCCAACACTGATTTTCAGTTGGCACCCCTGCAGTGACGCACGGAAGAAAGCAACACATGCTTGTAATCCGCATATGCCAAAATTTGATTTAATTTTGTGGGTCCCAGGTTCAGTCCAAATAACGAAGAGATAGATATTAAAAACATAACATCACGCCTTTTATCCCCGAAGGGGTAGGCAGAGGTGCTCATTATGCCACTGTACAATCTAACACCCACTTTTAACTATTTATGTTATGAGTCCCATGTAATAGGGGGTGAGCGTATTGCCATATACCGGGCACAGTTTCAGACTCCGTGCTACTACTGAAAATTTTTTAAAAGCCCAGTTATACTTTGCCCTACCCGGGAATCGAACCCGAGACCCCTTACCGAGTCGCAAATGCGACCTCTCGGCCAACGAGGCAGCATTAAATTAAAAATATGACTATAATTTTATCTCTAACCACCAAATAAAGTAATAAACCCCTAATAAACCAATATTACGTTGAAAATCCCTTATCAAACATTAAGAGGGTGACATACATAATAATGTATACATATAATGCATATACTGACAATATACTGGTATAAGATAACAATTAATCCGGGATCAAGGCAGTAGGTTCATCTCGACCGACGGATCAATTAGTCAATAATCCGCTTACAGGCATTAATGTTTAGACTGTACGGGGTTGTTCACATTGAAAGCGATCTTGGATGAAGTCATAATTAAACTATCGTAATACCGGATGGAGCAGTAGTTAAGAGTTTGACGCTACGTTTTTAGACTGTCTCTGAGGTTGAATCTTAGAGCCTTAAAATGTATCAACTAATCGAGGTTGTAAGACCAACATCATAACATAACATCACGCCTCTATCCTCCGAAGGGGTAGACAGAGGTGCACACAGAAGTAACACCCACTTTTCACTATTTATGTTATGAGTCCCATGTATGGGGGTGAGCCTATTGCCATTATACACAATTCTCTCCGTATAAACTCCGTGTTACTACTGAGTTTTTTTTTAATTTTAAGAGATTACAGCATTTGTATCTATCCGCTATTTATTAGCGGATAGATACAAAAAATAATTAAAGTCATCTTTCAAATAAGCCTCATCGTACCTAATTTCGATCTTTCCTACAATTTTCCTAAAGCTACAAAATAGTATTGCTGAAGTTGTAAATATGAAGGTAATTAACAAATCCGAGACCCACATTATTTTAGACTTAGACTTTAATTTTACGGAGAACCTAACGGGTTACCGGGGCTCCGGCTCGACGTGCAGGA